TCTCCTATTTGGCACTTCCTCTAGTTCCTTCCAATTTTCGAGTGTAACTGTATTAACTTGAGGGTTATTCTCCGTATCACTAGGGAGAGCGCCTGCAGGTCTAGTATTTTGATTTGCTGCTAACTGCCCTATTTGCCTCTCAAGATTTCTGAATTTGGTCTTGAGCTGTTGATTGTCAAGCAACAACTTCTTAGCAAGTCATTCATACTATCTTCCATTTGTTGGGGTGGCTTCTGAGGTTGATTGAAATTTCCTTGGGGTCTATAATGATTTTGATTCGGCTGATTTCAACCCCATGAGAAATTAGGATGATTCTTCCAATTTGAATTGTAAGTGTTCCCATATTGTGCATGTTGGTTTATTGGACCTCTACTCTGTTGTCCCATATAGTATATAGATTCAGGATTCGTGGGGCATATGTCAGCCATATGACTATCACCATATAGTTCGCAACAAATAGACATCTATTGTACATGTTGCATCTATTGTGTTTGTTGCATTGTCATTCTGTTCATCTGATTTGCCAATTTTGCTATATCGTCTCTCATGGCTAAGAAGTCATTAAGCTCAATCAACCCGACTGCTTTCTATTTAATTGCCCTTTGTGAGTCCCTATCTCCTTGACAATTATGATCATTAGCAGTGAATTTATTTAGCAAGAGTTGGATTTCACTATACAGTCTCCCCATACAACTACCCCCACAAGCTGAATCAAGATTCATCTTTGATGTCTTATCTAGACCATCAACAAAAGTGTGACTCAATACCTCATCAGTCTGACAATGATGCAGGCAGTCTCTGAGTAGCTTCTTGTATCTTTCCCAAGCTTGATGAAGTGTCTCGCCATCCTGCTGTTGGAACCCAAGAAATGGTCAAATAGCTCCAAAAACTTTATTTGGAAACAACGCCAAAAACTTGTTGCGGCCAAATGCACACGCAAGTTTACGCGGTCGTCAAGTAATAAAGTGACTAAAAGTCGGATATCGAACCCATGAGGACTTGTTATTAACTATTAGTTAAATTAGACTATCCTAAGTATCTAACAAGAATTAAACCTAGAAATATTTGATTCTAAACTAATTAAAATAAACAAAAAACAAATAATGAAGTCTGAACAGATGAAGAGCAGCATTTTATGTTATCAATGTGATAAAAATGATCTAGGGTTATGGGCTATCTAACATTCCTACTGTATTCTTCAATTAAATTGACTAACTAATTTATCTAGCTAATTGGTTGACAGAGTTAATATTGCTCATAAGAATCTGTCGAGTTCTTACTCACCTATTCAAGCTAACCTAACGCCTATATGTCTATGGAGTTAGAATCAACAAGAACGTATTTATAATTCCTATAAATCAACCAAGCAAAGCAATTAGATATATGTCTATCCTAACAGCAAATACGTTCCCCGATGCATAATAAATTCAGAAATAGAGTAAGGTGGAATGAAATAACTCCCTTCTAGTCAGAGTCTGCTTCCTCAGGATGCCCACCAACTGCGGCAATGGGCTTATCATCATCTCCTAAGGGTACCAAAGCCATTGTCCCGGTAAATCCATCATCATCCGCATCCTCATCATCAGATTCCTTGTCAATGTTTTCATCCTCAGACGGATGAATGGGACTACCTAGTGCTATGCCCAACATCTCCTTAGAAGAACTGGAGAGATCACTTTGCAATTGTGTGCGCTCCTCGTATAACACCCCTAGCTTGCTCATAATAACATTGAGGGTTTTGTAAAGATACCTGTTAAAGTTTTCGTCCCTTTAATTCCTAGCAGTTTGGGTGAGCTTTGATGTAGGCTCTAGCAAAGATGTGATGTCTAGCAATGCTTTGGGTGCCTCCACTACCTCATCATAGCCAGGGTACTCCGGTACCTAAGATATAGCATGTACTATGTCAGGATGTTGCCATAAAAAAACCTTTTTATCCTCCCTCCAAAACGGGTGCGGGCCATCTCCCCATGTATGAGCTCACCCACATTTATGGGGCAACCAATCATCAAAAAGTTGATCACGCACACTCAAGCTCGAGTGCACTCACTATTATGCTCCACATGCATTAATCTTGTCTGCACAAAGTTCTGCCAAACTTTAGCCGTCTTGTTGAAGTCAAACCTAAGCATTTCAAGGTGAATATCCCTCTTAGTCCGCGTCCACTTTGCATTGGAATCAATGCCACAAAGTGTGTGACGTATTGCTTGGTAGCGTGGGATTTTGACAAACTTTCTAAGTCTTCGCAAGGTCGGGCTATCAACTCCCAAAAAGCGACACAAGGCCTCCCTATCCATTGGAATGCTCTTTCCTCTGATGCATGACTCATCCTCTTTCGTGTCCCAGTTTGTGTACAACTCTCTAACCATGCTTAGATTTGCAGGGCCTGGGCATTCAAGGAGCCTATCCATATTCTTGTGGATCAATGTAGCAAGTAATCTGGGAAGCTCCATTCTAAGGCCTTCACATTTTTCCCCATCTCAGACATATATCTCCCGTATGGAACAAAAGTATCATGCCATTTATTTGCGTCATCTCCTAAAAATTCCAACCGAGGTCATGATTGCTTTGTAGACCCAATAACCATTTGCTTTCCCTTGGCTTGTCGGGAAGAGCTCTCACCTTGCTTGCGTTTCTTTGGAGGGGGAGAAGTAGTGGAGGACTTCCTTACCCCTTTTCCTTTTCCGGCACTATCACGAGCCATAGCAACCTTTGGGTCTTGAAATTTAATTGAGCAATAAAGATTGAAGAATTTGAGAGAGAGATGGAAAGATATAGAGAGAGAAAATGGGGAGAGAGAGGGAAAATGCAGGCGTTTTTGCTTTGAAGAAAAGGGGGGTTTGGGTTTTAGTTTTTTTAATTTTTTGTGGGGGATGGGTTTGGGTAATTGGGTATGGGTTATGTTGTGTGTATATGGGTAATTGGGTTATATGGGTTAGTATTTTAAATAAACAAAGATAACGAAAAAAAAATAAAAAAATATACATGTATCCGCCAGCCCAGCACCCCACGCTGGGGTTGGCGCTGAAATATTTATGGCTACTGGAAAGTGCACCCCAATCAGCGTGGGGCGCTGGACTGGGCGCTCAATTCGCTAATTTTTTTTTGATAAAATCCCGACTACCCGAGCACTCAACACATAATTTACACACACCCCACACCATCCCCACCTAAGATTTTATACAACTACAAACAAAACAAAAAAATTTAGTCTACTCTAACTAAAAGAAAACAAAAACTAAGCTACGAAAGCCTCCCAACGAGCGTCTGATTTAACATCGCGGCACGACTTAACACATTTTTAAGCATCAGCCAAGTCCACTGAGGTCTTATGACGTGTAATGTCACCACCCCAATAATGTTTTATTCTCTAACCATTTACCAAGAAGGTACCACTTGAGCTAGTATCACGCAGTTCCATAGCTCCATGAGGCCTCACACTTACCACAACAAAAGGACCTGCCCAACAAGACTTACGCTTTTCGGGGAAAAGATTCAACCTCAAATTGAACAAAAGAACTTCTTGACCCGGCTCAAACCCTCGAATGTTGGATGTGCTAGTCATGCCACCTCTTAGTCCTTTTTTTTATATAATTTGGCATTTTCATATGCGTGCAATTGAAACTTATCAAGCTCGTTGAGTTGCAGCAACCACTTCTCACCAGCTAAGTCCATATCCATATTCAGCTTTTTAATTGCCAAATAGGCTTTGTGTTCAAGCTCGACGGCAAGTGGCACGCCTTCCCATAAACTAATTTATACGGAGAAATACCTATGGGATTCTTGTATGCATTTCGATATGCCCATAATGCATCCTCTAGCTTACCGGCCCAGTCTTTTCTATTTCTACTTACTGTTTTCTCCAAAGTCTGCTTTACCTCTCTGTTTGAGACTTCCACTTGACCACTCGTTTGGGGGTGATAGGTAGTGGAAACCTTGTGCTTAACTCCATACTTTGTAAGAACATTATTCAGTAATTTGTTGCAGACGTGAGTTCCTCCATTGCTTATCAACACTCTTAAGGTCCCAAAGCGTGTGAAGATGTGCTTCTTTACAAAGCTTACCACAAACTTTGCATCATTAATTGGAAGATCAATGGCCTCCACCCACTTAGAAACATAGTCCACCGCTACCAAGATGTACCTGTGACCATTAGAGTATGGGAACGGTCCCATGAAATCAATCCCCCAAACATCAAAAAGCTCCACTGCCAGAATATTTTGCAGAGGCATCTCGTGCTTCTTCGTGATTGTTCCGGTTCTTTGGAATCTGTCACATTTTTAGCAAAGGCATGGGCATCCTTAAATAATTTTGGCCAATAGAAACTCGATTGTAGCACTTTTTGGGTTGTTCTATCCCCACCATGATGACCTCCGTTCATGCAGTATTACATTTATCTCTTCCTCAGGGACACATATTCACACCAACTAATCTATGCATAGCCTATATAAGAATGACTCATCACACATGTAGAGCCTCACATCATGTAGGAACCTTCTTCTATTATCGGGTGTCAATTCTGGTGGTGTCACCCCACTTGCAATAAAATTCACATAATTTGCATAACACGGGGCTTCACTTGAGGTGATTTCCAATAACTTCTCATTCGGAAATGTTTCTTTGATTGACCCTCCTTCAGTTACATGGATCCGATTTTCTAATCTAGACAAGTGATCAGCCACTCGATTCTCTGTCCCTTTTCGATCTCGGATCTCTAGGTAAAACTCTTGCAAGAGGAGGACCCAACGAATCAGCCTCGGCTTGGCGTCCTTATTTTCAAACAAGTATCTGATAGCTGAATGGTCTTTGTAGATTATGACTTTGGTCCCTACTAGATAGGATCCGAACTTGTCAAACACCCACACCACTGCAAACAACTCTTTTTCGAAAACTGTGTAGTTCATCTGGGCTCGATTAAGAGTTTTGCTCGCATAGTAAATGGAGTGAAAGGTTTATTTCTCCTTTGCCCCAAAATAGCTCCGATAGCACATCAACTCAAATGGCTACTCCCAATTCGGAGCAATGATAATTGGTGCAGTCACTAACCTTCCCTTCAACTCCTCAAATGCTTTCAGACAGGCATCATCAAACTTGAAAGGGACATCTTTCTCACGAAGCCTGCATAAAGGAGAAGAAATTTTCGAAAAGTATTTAATAAAACGACGATAAAAACCTGCATGGCCCAAGAAACTGCGAATGCCTTTGACGGATGTCGGTGGGGAAAATTTTTCAGTCGCCTCCACCTTTGCTATATCCAACTGCAAATGGTTTTGGACACCTAGTACCCCAGGACTATACCTTCACGTACCATGAAATGACACTTTTCCCAGTTTAGCACCAAGTTCGTCTCTTCACACCTAGCAAGCACTTTATCAAGATTCAATAAACAATTATCAAAAGAGCATCCAAACACTGAAAAATCATCCATGAACACTTCTACAGATCTTTCAACCATGTCAGTAAAAATAGACATCATATACCTTTGAAAAGTCGCAGGTGCATTACTGAGACCAAATGACATTCTCTTGAACGTATACGTACCATAAAGACACGTAAATGTGGTTTTATCTTGGTCATATGGGGCTATAGCAATCTGATTATACCCCGAATAACTATCTAAGAAATAGTAGTATTCCTGGCCAGCTAATCTATCAAGCATTTGGTCAATAAAGGGGAGGAAAAAGTGGTCCTTGCGAGTGGCATTGTTCAATTTTCTATAATCTATGCAAATTGTCCACCCAGTGATAGTTCTTGCGGGAATCAAGTCATTATTTTCATTAACCACTACAGGTATCCCCCCTTTATTAAGTATACATTTGATGGGGCTTACCCATTTGCTATCAGAGATTGGAAATACAATATCTGCATCAAGCCACTTAATCACTTCTTTTCTTACCACCTCTTTCATGATTGGATTTAGTCGGCGTTGTTGCTCTACTCTTAGCTTGTGTCCGTCCTCCATGAGGTTTTATGCATGCAGAAAGCTGGACTAATGCCTTTAATGTCAGACATCGTCCACCCAATTGCTCGGCTGTGCTCGTGTAGCACTCTCAACAGCTTTTCTTCCTGCAATTTAGAAAAATCAGAAGAAACAATAACAGGTAAAGTATCAAAACCTCCAAAATAAGCATATTGAAGGTGAGGTGGTAGGGGTTTAAGCATCAGTTTTGGAGCTTCCTCAATTGACGGCTTTGGAGGAGGCCCACTTGCCCTATTCAGGGGCTCAAAGGGGTGTATCCCCTGCATGTAAGCACAGGATGCATCTAGGATATGCATTATCTCCTTAACCTATTCATAAATCTATAAGGTATCGAACAATATAAGTGTTTTCTCTAGAGAATCGTCTAGGTATACACTCGTGTCAAGATGTTGCTTATCCACCTCCACAACAGATAACATCGAGAGCTCCTCATAGTAGCGGGGAAGTTGGATTGCTCTGTAGACATTAAAGACTGCTTCCTTGTCATCCACCCTCAAAGTTATTTTTCCCTCTCTTACTTTAACAATTGCATCACGAGTAGATAAGAGAGGTTGTCACTATATGATTGGAACCAGTTCATCAGCTTCATAATCTAGGATAATGAAGTTCGCAGGGAATATAAATTTTCCAATTTGTAGCAACACATCTTCAATCACTCTCTCAATGTGTGCTATGGACCTATCGGCCAACTGCAACATCACAGTAGTTGGTCTTGGAGCTCCTAGATCCAATTGTTTGAACAAGGTCAAGGGCATCATATTTATGCTCGCCTCCAAATCACAAAGAGCACGACACACATCAGTATTACCAATTCACACATGGATGGTGAAGCTGCCAGGATCCTTAAGCTTTTGAGGAAACTTGTTTTGGACCTTTTAAATGCACTCCTCAGTAAGTGCAACTGTCTCGAATTCAGTCAATCTCCTCTTGTGAGCCACTATATCTTTTATATACTTAGCATACTTTGGAATTTCATAAAGTATATCCACCAGTGGAATATTCAATTGAATCTGGCTCAACATAGAGAGAAATTTCCTGAACTTTCGATCATCATTCTTTTTCTGCAATCTCTGGGAAAAAGGTGGTGGTGGCCTGGAAGCCTCTCTACTAGCTCTGAAGTTGCATCATTTTTTCTTGGACTCATGTGTTGCCTTAGGAAGCAACTCCCCCTCATGTATAGGCTTGTATTTTCTCTTCTTTGGCACTTCCTCTAGTTCCCTCCCGTTTCTGAGTGTAATTGCATTAACCAGAGGGTTCTTTTCTATATCACTGGGGAGAGTGCCTATAGGTTTAGTATTTTGATTTGCTGCTAATTTCCACATTTGCCTCTCAAGATTTCTGAAATGGGTCCTAAGTTGTTGATTGTCAAGCAATAACTTCTTTAGCAAGTCATTCGTACTCTCTTCCATTTGTTGGGGTGGCTTCTGAGATTGATTGAAATTTCCTTGGGATCTATAATGATTCTGATTCGGCTGATTTGCACCCCTATGAGAAGTTGGGATGATTCTTCCAATTTGAATTAAGTATTCATATATTGTGCATGTTGATTTATTGGACCTCTGCTTTACTGCCCCACATAGTATATGGATTCAAGATTCGTGGGGCGCATGTCACTCATATGACTGTCACCACATAGTTCACAGCAAAATAGACATATGTTGTACATGCTGCATTTGTTGTCTTTGTTGCATTGTCATTCTATTCATCTGATTTGCCAATTTTGCTATATCGACTCTCATGGCTGAGAAGTCATCAAGCTCAATCAACCCAGCTGCTTTCCGTTTAATTGCCCTTTGCGAGTCCCCATCTCCTTGCCAATTATGATCATTAGCAGTAAAGTTATTTAGCAAAAGTTGGAATTCGCTATACGGTCTCGCCATGCAACTAACCCCACAAGATGAATCAAGATTCATCTTTAATGCCTCATCGAGCCCATCAACAAAAGTGTGACCTAATACCTCATCAGTCTAACAATGATGTGGGTAGTCTCTGAGTAGCTTCTTTTATCTTTACCATGCTTGACGAAGTGTCTCGCCATCCCGCTGTTGGAACCCAAGAATCTGACTCCTCAATGACTTTGTCTTCTTAGTAGGGAAAAGTTGATTAAGAATTTCCTTGCTAGATCATTCCAAGTGTGGATTGAGTTCGCGGACTCCTTTGGCAACCATTCCTTAGCTTCCCCTAGCAGTGAAAAGGGAAAAAGTTCAGTCTAATATAGTCTTTGGAAATGTTCGGATAATTATAAGTGTCCGTAATTTCCAAGAAATTCTGAATGTGCCTCTGCGGGTCTTCATGAGATAGACCCACATATTGCCCTGTGGACTGAATCAGCTGTACCATGTACTGTTTGAGTTCAAAATGCCTTGTGATCTTAGGCTTCACAATAGCTTGAGTCATATTAGCTAATTTGGGCCTTGCAGCTTCTATCACTGTAGGCTCTTATTAACTCCCATCTCTATTGGCTGTGGTTGAACTACGATGTCCAACTCTCCTGCTATTCTAGTTCTATGTTTGGCTTTCCTCCTCACTCTGTGAAGTGTTCGTTCAATTTTGGGATCAAAAGGAAGGAGATTGTTTGTGCTTCTACTCCTTCGCATTCAAGAGAAGAGCCTGTGTTAACACAATCAAGGTAAAGCTTGAACAAATAACTAATAAAAGCTTAAGTCAGTCAAGTAGCTAATTTCTAAGTCCTCGACAACGGCGCCAAAAACTTGTTGCGACCAAAAACACTCACGCAGGTGTACGTGGTCGTCAAGTAATAGAGTAGTGAGTAGAGTATGGTCAAAGACTTGTGATTAACTATTGACTGATTCAAACTCAATTAACTTATCGATTCAAGAGATTTCTCACAAAATATAGAAGAGACTAATTTACTACCTAAAATTATCAAGCAATGAATTAACTAGAAATCAAACGAAACAAATAACAATCAGTAGGAGAGGATATTCCAAGGTCACGGGTTAGCTAACAATCATGTTGCATTCTTGCCTTAAAATGACTAATTAATTTATCTGGATTGTTGATTGATAGGGTTGATATTACTCATAAAAATCTGTCGAGTCCTCACTCGCCTATTCAAGTTAATTTAATGCCTATATGTATATGGAGTTAAGATTAACAAGAATGCATTTACAATTCCTGTATTTCAACCAAGCAAGGCAATTAGGTATATGTCTATCCTAATTGCGAACCCGTTCCCTGATGCCCAGATTCAAGAACTTGCTCTATTTAATTCTATATGTAATCTAGAGTTCCCACTTTCAAGTTCAACTCTAGATTCATAGAAAGTATTTCATTGTTAGCTACTCAGCAAAATAATTAAAACAGAATTAAATAAACAACCCAATATGACAAAATCTACTTTGTCAAATTAAACTTTAAACATCAACATTCATATTTCACCCATGACCCTAGAACAATAGGGTTCTTAGCCACTCGTATTCATACAATCATGAAGAATAAGGGTTTCCAACATAAAATCAAGTACTAGAAAAGAGATAGAAGAGTTGATCAAATCCGTGCTCTCAAGTGTTTTGCGCTTTTGCTCTCCTCTAAAAATCATGTTCCCCCTTCAAAATAGGTTTAGGTTGGCTTTTATATCAGTTGGGGCATCTTGGGATTAAAATAATCGAGTCCTAGTCAAAACAGGACAACTTTGCATTCCGAGCGTCCAGGGCAGCGTGGGGCGCTGGCCCTGGCGTCCAAACTTTTTAGCTTCTGTAAATTGCACCACAAGCCCCACGCTCGCTGTGACCCTCAAATTTCAATCTTTGCTTTTTCTTCCCAATTTTGTTCTAACTCGCGCCATTTCGTCCCAAATTGCATCTGAATGACTCCTACACATAGAAATATCACAATTTAGCACAAATAATCATATTAAACATCTCAAATCTTCGAAACATGAGCAAAATGTGAGGCGATATATATCAAAATATGCATACATTAAGCCGATTATCAAGTACCTCTGTTTCAAATTAGATGTGGTGTTTTCTTTTTTAGTCTGTTCCAAAATAAATGACACATTTTTAAATTTGAAAATAATTCAATTTTAAACTCTTTATTTTACCCATTTTACCCTTAATAAGAAGTTTTTATAACCACACAAATGTCATGACCCTACAAAGCTTTTACCCCTTAAGCTTTTAAAATCGCAAGTTTTAAAAGTTTTCTTCTTTTTTCTTAATTAAACTACCTGCCGAGTCAAACTACTTCATCTAAATTGAAAAGAGAGAGTATTTAATATTTGCATTGGAGCTCAATTACCAGAAAGTTCTACATTTGGGTTCAGTATTTTCTAACAAATATTCTATACTTAGGACTTGAACTCGAGATCTCTGATTAAGAATGAAAAAATATTTATCACTACCGTCACTCGCGTTGGTCCTTTCGTATTTGTTTCAATCTCTTCGAAAAGCAAACTAACTTCATTGAACCCACTAGCCTAGCTATTCAAGCATAATGAATTGGTCTCTCCCCATATTAATCCTAATTTCTTCTTGCCTAGCAATTCAAATTAAAGCAATAAGCACGATATGGATCCATCTGGGATCTTTAAGAAGTCAAAATAGTTCGTATTTACTACAAATTAAAATAGCAACTGTAGTAGCTTGAATGGTGGCTAGTTTACGCTTTTTAGCAACTCCGAAGAGTAGATAGCTATTTTCTGATTAGTTGATTCTGTTATTAGATTTTGCTATCCCAAATTGTCTTTTTGATTTCATTCTCCAAATTTTAGGCTCAAAGCTGAAAGTGACAACCACAAAAAAACCGAAGTGTCAAGCTAAAAATTATACGTAATTAATTGTCTGAGTAAGTTACAAGCTGCTTAGCTGATCCTCACTGATATACATTGCT